ATACATTTCACTCTAAAATAAGAAAAGATTTTTGTCTAAAATTTTGAGGGATGATAGATTAGGGTACAAAGAATGTCGCTTTTCTCCGAAAAATACATAATTTTGAGTTAAATTATTGAGTCAGTCCACTGACTTTCGTCTAATAGTGGTTGCGACCAAATTTTAAAAAAATTTAGTTTTAATATATGTGAAACCAAAAACATAAATCACTTTATTCTGCAAAGAGGAACGAAAGAATTATTTTAAAAATTTATTATTTTTGGCTGATATACTATTCTAAAAAAATTTTATTTAAATATTCTCAAGATTTTTATTTACTTATTATAACTTTTTTGTCGGTGCTCCGAAAAAATTGAGGTTTTGCACAAAGATTTTTTATAATATTCTTTACCTTCTATTAAAATCTTACGAAGGTGTTTTACATTGTTTTGGAGATATTAATTTTAAAAAAAATTTTATGTAAAAGGTTAATTAAAAGACTTGAAGTTAACTGACCAATTTCAATACGCTATACATTTTAATATACTTTTATAAAAAATGGAGCAGTTTGAATTTGGTTAGTTAACTTCAAGTCTTTTAATTAACCTTTTACATAAATTTTTTTTTAAAATTAATATCTCCAAAACAATGTAAAACACCTTCGTAAGATTTTAATAGAAGGTAAAGAATATTATAAAAAATCTTTGTGCAAAACCTCAATTTTTTCGGAGCACCGACAAAAAAGTTATAATAAGTAAATAAAAATCTTGAGAATATTTAAATAAATTTTTTTTAAAAATAGTATATCAGCCAAAAATAATAAATTTTTAAAATAATTCTTTCGTTCCTCTGTGCAGAATAAAGTGATTTATGTTTTTGGTGAGTTCCAACATCTAATTTTTTAATAGTTTTTTAATAATAGCGTTTTTAAAAAAATTGAAAAATTTAAGGTTACAAAATCACATTGTGAACCTCCTACTTTTGATATTTAATATTTTTAAAGGAAATTAAATTTTTACCATAATATTATGGTTAATGAACTCAGGGAATCATCGAGTTTCACATATATTAAGGAAGTTCTCCGGCGCCAGTGGAGCTCAATAACAACCTGTTCTCTATACATATAAGAATAACTTCTCCCTCAAAAGAAATAGTTGAGAACATTTTCCTGTTTCCCTTCCCCTCTGTCAAGTGCAGAAGTGCAAAATTTGTAATTGTGCGCAGCTTTTTAAGATACGTCAACAGTGTAGAACGGCTGACTATAAACAGCTTACACAAGTTGGTTCATCGCAAGAAGAACATAACCTATTTTTTATGTTTGTTTATTTATTTATATGCGCGCGTTTCATACGAACGAACAATTTTTCGGATTTAGGAAATTTATAAGATAAGAAATTTTTGTACGTTGGCCGATTTTATAAAAAGTTTCCATAATTCGAGAAAAAAATGTTTTAAATAATATTTATCATTTTTACGTTCATTGCCATTTTTATAGGGTGATAATTAAATGCCAAAGAATTTCAGATAGGCTAACTGTGGGTAATTCTGCTGATTTTCAGTGTAGGTTAACTTTGCAAAGCTTGTCTGAGCTCATATTTAAACCAAAGGTCGTTATTTTAATTACAAATGAAAGTTTTATTATTAAATTTTGCTAATAAATTAAAGTTAGGTTTATTGGGCACTCCCCCGCGCCTTTAAAAATATATCAATTAAAAAATAATTGTAAATGAGGGTATTGCTGTTGAGATGTCGGTATTCCTGTGTGGCAATTACTAACGAAACACCAATTCCTGTGCGGGTATAACTGCAGAAAATCAATGATCTGAGTGACCGGTAACGTCAACAAAGAAGTTAGGTTATGTCTTTGCGAAGAGTTAATGCGCAGTGAACGTTTTTAAAAATCGCAGGAATACCCACAAGCAATGAAAATATTGCTAGTAATACAGTTTTAAGGAATATTAATTGTAAACAAATAATAAATGGGTAGCTAAATATTTATTTAAAACAATATAAAGCCTACTTTATTGAATAGTGTAACACTAAATTGTGCATATTATTGAAAATGTTGAAAATATAAACGTTTTCTGATAGGTGTTCATGGGTGCCATATTCCATAATTTCATGGAATTCAGTCATAGTCTACTTTAAATTTAAATAATTACATTAATAATAATTAACGAAGTGCACATTTTTCTTGGCTATTTCATCACACAGAAAATTAAAAGGCATTAAAATAAGCTGCAACGCTTATTATTTTAATCCAATTTTGCCAAATCCAAATTGGATTAAAATAATAAGCGTTGCAGCTTATTTTAATACCTTTTAATTTTCTTTGCAAGTAAGATGTAGAATAATTTTTGCGGTCATTTTGAACAAATTATATCGTTAGCCCCAAGTCGAATGCACGCAACTTTCAGAGACATTTTGGAAAGTACTTCCACAGCCGTTTTGTAAATCACGTAACTTTGTGGTGCAGAGCAGATTGTACGTAACTCTGAGAAACGTTTGGAACTCGCTTATGTTGGTTTTTTGTGTTTTTGCAAAATACAAATGTGACGCGCTCCGAGGAAAGGTACCTAAGAAGCAAAAAATTGTAGGTTATTTTTGTGATTTTTAAAGTAAAAATACACAAAGGGAATCAACTCTCAATATAAATTATTGGTGTTTAAATCTTCATAACATTGAAAATATTCAATAAAAACTGATTTTACTTTACAATAATAAAAAATAAACTTTTAATTAAGGTAAAATTACGACAAACATAACCTTAAAATGATTTGCTTCTTAGGTACCTTTCCTCGGAGCGCGTCACAAATTACAATATTTCTGCTCGAAACATAGCAATAAAAAGTGTAAGACAATGTTTGTATGTACCTATGACATTTTAAATTCGAATAAAAATATTTTTTCTATTCTTTGCAGAAAAAGCGTATATGTATTTTTTTATTTTTTTTTTTATATGTTTCCAAATTTTTTTAGTTATGATTTTTTAAAAATCTGAGTAGACCGAGGTAGATCTAATTTCAATGACATCTATTTCTAAAAGTATTGACACAAATTTGTTTAAAAAATTCTTTTTTCGTTTTTTTTTTACTTTTTAAAATACAATGCATTTTAGTTAGCTTTTCTATAGATAAAGAGAAAGATCCTGGTTTTTTAAGGCCACCCGGGAAAAATCTCTAACCTAAAAGTGTTTTCCCTCGCGAGATATTACTCGCAAATAACTTGGAATATTCACAGAAAATTAAAAGGCATTAAAATAAGCTGCAACGCTTCTTATTTTAATCCAATTTTGCTTATTTTAATACCAAAATGGATTAAAATAAGAAAAATTGGATTAAAATAAGAAGCGTTGCAGCTTATTTTAATGCCTTTTAATTTTCTGTGTTTTGTTCGGATTTGTCGGATTAATTAGATGAGGGCGAGTTGATTAAGAATCATCTCCATTTTTACAAGTAATTTTGTAAAAAAGTATTGAAAATCGTGGTTATAAAAGTTGGATTTTTGTCAGAAGTGGGGACAGACATTGAATCTATGTGGCGCCAATTCTAGCTAGTGGCCGCTGCTGAACTAACTTACCCCAAATTACTCCACTTTAAATCTTTAATAAAATAATTTCCTCACAATATTATTGCAAAAATGGAGAAGAGCCCCACTCAGTGACCCTTCCTCTATTATTCCTCCAAATTGCCAACTCGAAATACTTTATCCTTTAAAGATGAGAAGAAATTTACGAAACCCCTTTTTGCCAATGTTTAAATATTTTTTTCAATAATTATTTATCAAGATTATGCAAAATTCCGAGAAGAGCCCACTCCCAATAGAGTACCTTCCTCTATTATTTCCAAAAAATTACAACCTAAACTATTCTATCTTTTTCAAATGAGAAGAAATCTACAAAACCATTATTTTCTCCCGGATGGCCTTAATAAAAAATGGAAAAAAAAATTTTTTTTAGCATATTTCGAAAGCTGATAAAAATGTGCAACTTTTTTTTTATCTTGTCAAAAATTCCAAAATTCAATACTTTTAGAGTTAGATGTCATTGAAATTAGGTCTACAGTGGTCTACCCAAAATGTCATGTAAATCACATGTGGAATCGCCCATATGTTACCGACAAAAATCCGAAATTTAGGCTTCGCGAAATGCCTAAGAATCACAAGGAAATTTTAAATCAATGCACGACTTATTATAATCAAATCTCCAATCTCCTGGTAATTCTTAAGCATCACTGTAAAAAGAAGGTACTAAAATATTACCAATTTTAGGTATTAAAATAGAACCAATAGGCAATTTAGTACCTAAAGTTGGTATTAAATAATTACCATTCGTTTTACAGTGATTTAGCGACATGCCTAGACTTCAGGTTATGCTGAAAAAATATAGGGGAGGATGGGGTAAGGATAGTTGGGTAAAACATTTTTGGATCTAGTAGCTAAAATTCAACAGGCATCGGAAAAAGAATAGTATCGTTCGAAAGCCTGTTTATTTACTCTCTTAATTTGAATCAGTGAAATTTCACTGGTGAAATAGCTAGAAGTCGGTTACTGAATCATTTAGTGAAATTTTCACTGAAAATCAGTCATATATCATTGATTTCCAGTGAAAATTTCACTAAATGAATCAGTCAATCTGTATTATCGGTAATGGGTAAAACAGACTGACTGATTCATTTAGTAAAATTTTCACTGAAAATCAGTGATATATGACTGATTTTCAGTGAAAATTTCACTAAATGATTCAGTAACCGACTTCTAGCTATTTCACCAGTGAAATTTCACTGATTCAAATTGTAATGTCGTGAAATAAATAACGATATATATATTCAAATATGAATTTAATAGTAAGTAATTAAATGAGAAGTTACAAGTAAGGCTGGTTAGAGAATACTGAAAAACATATAGGTTAATACACACACAAGCGTACTCTATGTTTAGGAAATGGAATTACAAATATATTTTCGTTCAACATACTACATTCCTCCATCCCTGATTTGAAAATATCCCATATTTTAGAAAAATCATAAATTCAATCGATTAACAGGTTTAATAAATCTCTTTGGTCGACTGTTAATCAATGGCGAAGAAACTTTATTTTTAAAGTTCACTGAACGTCTTTCATTTACACTGACCGGCGAATAAAGTTTTTGTTTTTCATTCGATGTCAAAAGTCCATCACTCGCGGTTTTACCATTCAAAGAATTAAAGTCCTTGTTTTCACTCGATGAAACAATTTCACTTGGTAAAGGCTCGAGTAAAGAATCACTCGAAATTTCCGCACTATCACGCTGAGTTTCCACAGGAACCTGCAAAATGGACTTTCTAGACTCCCGAGTACCAGAACTAATAATCTGATCGGTGTGTCTCTTGACCTTGAAATCTGGGTCTGAAGGATCAGGGTTGCAAATATATGTCCTTTCTCCTAAAACCCTCTGAATAACAGCTGGAGACCAAGTAGGCTTTAATGGATTCTTATAATTTCGAATAAGAACCTTTTCTCCCTCGGAAAATGAAACATCTCGGTGTCCCTTAAAAAATTGAACTTGTTTCTCCGATGAAGATTCCGTTTTTCTAGCTCTTAACAAATCGAGCCGATTTCGGAGTTCTCTGCCTAGAAATCTCTTCGCTGGCGATTCCCCAGTAGAACAATGAGGTGCATTTCGATAATAAAAAAGGTATCTCGAAATACAGGTGTGTAAATCCATCGCTGAAACATCCTTTTCGAAAATAGCCTTCGAAATTCCCCTCTTGAAACTTCCGACTGCATTCTCTGCTAAACCATTGGTCGAAGGATGATAAGGAGCTGAAGTTCTGTGAATAATACCATTAATTTTGCAAAAAGTTTGAAATTCTTCCGAAGTGAACTGTTTTCCATTATCAGAAAAAATAACCTTCGGAATACCAAACCTGGCAAAAATTTCACGCAATTTCGAAATCGTAGATTTAGAATCAATTCGACTCATCTCCATAACCTCAGGCCAACGAGAGTAGGCATCAATAGTCAACAAATACATTTTACCATGAAATGGACCCAGGAAATCGATGTGAATCCGATCGAAAGGTTTGTTGACTTCGTTGAATTTAATCAATCCGGCCTTCTCCGGGTTTTTCGCAGTTGATTGGCAAGCTTGACAACTCTTACCAAAAGTCTCGATGTCCAGATCCAGTCCTGGCCACCAGAAGTAACTGTCGAGCGAGAGCCTTCATCTTGACAATTCCAATATGTCCACCATGAATCTCTTCCAGCAAAGACGATCTAAAAACTTGAGGAATGATTAAACGATATCCCCACATAAGTAAACCAGAATCTATACTTATTTCATCTTTTCTTGTTAAAAAAGGTTTGAATTCAGGATCAACGTGAGTCGGCCATCCATCTCTAACGTATAAAAAAACCTTGCTTAAAACTGGATCCTTTCTCAATTCACGTCTCAAATCATCGGATTTGATTGGAATGTTTTCCTCGACAATAAAATTAAAATAGTCCATGGATTCATCTACTCCAGAAGACACCTGCCTCGGGAGTCTCGAAAGTCCATCCGCCGCTCCGTTGTCGATTCCTTTAATGTATTCCAAGGTATAATCGAATGAAGATAAAAAAACAGCCCAACGTTGCAGTCTACCAGCTGCCATTTTTGGAATGCCATTTTTCTCCCCAAATAACGCCAACAATGGTTTGTGATCTGAACATAACATAAATTTGTTTCCAACCAAAAATTGATAAAATTTACATACAGACCAGTAAATAGCGAGCGCTTCCTTGTGAATCACGGAATAATTTTTCTCGGAACATCGTAGAATTCTTGAAGCAAAAGCGATGGGTCTTTCATCCCCGTTTGGAAAAACATGAAGAAGTGCAGCACCTATTCCATCTTTAGATGCATCGGCAACCAATTTGAGTTTTTTGGCAGGATCATAATGCACTAAGCATCTATCCGAAGCAATCTCCTCCTTAATTTCGTTGAAAGCAGCCTCCTCCCTGGTAGTCCATGTCCAATTTTGTCTCGTAGTAGCATCGTACAATGGCTTCAGCATTTGCCCCAAATGCGGAACGAATTTCCCGTAATAATTGACCATACCCAAAAATGATTTTAACTCGGTGACGTTTTCCGGTTTCTTGACAGCACGAATAGCCTCTACCATTTCCGGGTTCTTGTGAAGACCTTGGCCATTTATGATGTGACCCAAATAATGAATTTCGTCCTGAAAAAAACTACATTTTTTTAAATTTAATTTAAAACCAGCATCAGACAACTTTTTCAAAACAAGCCTCAAATTTTGTAAATGTTCATCTTTGGTTTTGCCTGTAACAACAATATCATCACAAAAAATAGTAACACAAGGAATACCCTGTAAAGTTTTTTCAATTATTTTTTGAAAAATAGCAACACAAGTTTTTGGACCGAATGGCATTCTGTTCACCTTGAACAAACCCAAATGAGTACTCCAAGTCAAAAGTTTTGCAGTTTCCTCTGTAACCTCAAGTTGATTAAACGCGTTGGTAAAGTCCAATTTTGTGAATTTAACACCACCCGACACACAAGCGAACAACTCTTCGATCCTTGGTGTAGGATGTTTGACGTCCTCGAGACACTTGTTGATTGTAACCTTGTAGTCGGCACAAACACGAATTTTACCATCTTTTTTTAAAACTGGCACTAATGGTGTCCCCCACTCCGCGTCATCAACTGCCTTAATGAAACCTTGACTCTCGAGATCCCGTATCCTTTGAGTCATTTCGTCCTTGAAAGCAAATGGCACAGGCCTCGGCTTGCAGAAGATTGGCTTGGTCCCATCGACAACATTCATATCCACTTTACTGTATTTATATTTACCGGTTGTCCCGTCAAAAAGTGATTTAAATTCTTGGAGCACATCTTGCAATTTAAAATCATCACTAATCGAATTTACTTGTGTAATTTCGTACCCCAAAACACTCATTAAATCCCTTCCCAATAACATTCGACAGCCACGTCTGACGACTAAAAGTTTAACCACGTTTCTGCTGTCATCTTTTGACAACATAACCTCAACTTGTCCTAGCGGTTTGACAATAGTACCGTCGTACAAACGCAACGTCGTTTCCACTTTTTCTAATTTAAATTTGGAAAGTTTCTCGCGATAAAGAGATTCGGGAATCACTGATCTGCTCGCACCAGTGTCAATTTCAGCTTTCACAGCTACATCACCGATAAACATGTCCACCAAAAAAGGTTGCTTATAGTCATTTACCGAAAAAATTTCATCACAGTCAATGGCAGAACACGACACTTCATCTTCCGTAAGATGATTTTGAGATTCTTGTTTATCTTTGGACTTGCAAATTTTTGCTAAGTGTCCAATTTTTTTACACGAATTGCACTTAAACTTTTTATATTTACAATGCTTAAAATCATGATTTGAACCACCACAATGATTGCACGTAACGAACTTTGTTTTTTCTTGTTTATCCTCCGAACTTTTAGAACTGAACTTATTCTTTTGATTTTTATTTGCTCTTAAATTAACACTATACACGGGCACTTCTCGTTTGGAATTTAACAGAGCTGCTTCACGATTCCTGGCAATTTCCAAGATTTCAGTCAGCTGTTTTGTGTGTTCTTCCTCACACACACGATCGAGAATGACACCCTTTTTGAGACCAGTCACGAATTTGTCCTTGATCATATCATTCAAAAGTCCACCAAATTCACAAGTTGCAGCCTTGTTTTTGATCCTAATGAACCACTCGTTGATTGATTCCTGATCATTTTGTCGAAGTTCATAAAACTCGGTTCGCTCGCGAAAAATTGAAACACGCTTCGAAAATTGTCCCTTTAAAATCACGCAAAGTTCCTCATAGGTCTTGCTCGATGGTAAAGCAGGGTCACATAAATCCTTTAGAGATTTATAAGCGTCTTGTCCTATTAATGTAACTAACACTGCCACCTTACGTTCAGGTTGAGTGACACTGTTTGCGATGAAATACTGAGTAAGTCTATCTTGATAGATATCCCAATCTTCTCCAATTTTAAATTCACTCATGGCGCCAATTGTCGAAACAAAAGTCACGTTAGGTTGGATAGGCGGTGGTATAAACGATGGTTCTGCGCCATTTTGATTCCCTGAAGCATTTTGTCTCAAGTTACTATTAACAATCAATTCCAGCTCACCGACTCTATTTTTACTAGAATCTCTCTCTTTCCTCAGCCTGTCGATATGACTTTGGAGTTCTGCCTGCCTTTGAGTAGCCTCGGCAAGTTTAGTTTTGTACTCCTCTTCCATCATTTTGAAAACTCGTCACGACGATATGAAACAAAAAAAAGCACGTGTATAATCGCACCGATTTTTAGTCAATAACTGCACAAACAGCACAATCTGCACAAACAGCAAGTTCTTTTAAATCGATAAACAATAAAAAACATCCTCGTCGCCAAAAATGTAATGTCGTGAAATAAATAACGATATATATATTCAAATATGAATTTAATAGTAAGTAATTAAATGAGAAGTTACAAGTAAGGCTGGTTAGAGAATACTGAAAAACATATAGGTTAATACACACACAAGCGTACTCTATGTTTAGGAAATGGAATTACAAATATATTTTCGTTCAACATACTACACAAATTAAGAGAGTAGCTACAATTTTGTAATACATTATTTTGCTGTGGATTGCAATGCTTCCACAAATGATATCGCATCAAGATCAAATTTTTCTTGACGTCTTTTGGTGTTAAAACAAGTATATATGAAGAATAGTGCCCTTTTTGAACAAGCCGTGTAGGCAATAGAGCCACTAACTATCCTTGCCCCATCCTCCCCTACATTGTTTATAGCATATTCTATAAACTAATAAAATTTTAATAGAAATGTAAAGACTTTTCAAAAAGTCGCCAAACCGGAAGCACAGCAGTTATGCAATTAGGTGTCCTTTATATACAGGGAATTTTTGGACCGGTTGGAATACTAAAGAAGGGCGAAATGATCAAGAATATATTATATTTATATATTTTTAATGAAGTGAAAAACAACATAATTTAGACAAAAGAGTACATATGCGCAGTAATGTACATTTTAAAGACGGTTTAATGCCGTTTTTGAAACAAAGATACATTGTCAAAATATTGTAAAATTGAAGAAAATTATTATACTTTAAAAAAATTATAGAATATTTTCCTATAAATAATTTTTGCCGGCATTGAGTACATTCCAACTGAAAGAGTACAACATAAATGTTACAAAAATATACACACAAACGTGCGAAAATTAATCAGAATATTATTTTTAACTTCTATTGTAATTGTAAGCCTTTTATTATATTTAATATTTGCAATGCAATCGCTCAAAAAGCTCAGACATATTTTTACCATTAATTTTATCTTCATAATATGAAACTGTATTTGCTACTGTAGCCAACCAGTCTTTATGGATTATAATTTTATGACAAGGGGACTTCATAATTAAACAATGAATATTAGTTTGCTGAATAAAAGTAAATTTTTCCTCAATAAATCTGAACTTAGTTGAAGGAAGAATTATGTAATGCTTGGAATGTGCATCAATGTTTTTCACATCAATGGCTAAAAATGGATCATTCAGTATTATTTTAAAAAATTGCAAAGAGACAGGTATATGGGATTCATTTTCTTCAGATAAAATTTGAGAATAATAATCCCATTCACTACTGTCTTCATTGCAATAAAGAAATGCATTAGTTGACTTCATTCTCTGACTTACTTTAACGAAAGTGGTTTTTTGAATGTCATTCGTTCTTTTGCAATACAGTATTATTTGCTTGTTTTCTGCTTTTTTAAATGAATCGAACTGTCGAATTGCTAAGCTATACATAGCTTTTTTTATTCTCCAAACATCAGGAGTATCAATATCTGTGTTTGCATTAGGATTAGACAAAAAAATTCTTATCGCATAATAATCGTCAAAGGAAATAGTGTCGAATAGTTGATTAGCCATATAATCATCAAACGCAGATCCTGGAGGAATGTTTATTAAACTAATATCTTCTTGGCTATAAATATTTTCAATAAGTTCAATTGCTTTCCTTTGGTATAACCCAATTTCCACATACGAATAAAACCTTAATTTTTCATACAACTTAGGATTATTTAGCCACTGATTATCGTATGTTGAAGGAGCGAATCCAAATTTGTTGAGATCCCCCGCGAAAACAGATAACTGTATAAGTGTAGAAAAGCTATAATGTTTTAAAATGTGCATTGCGGTAGTCTCATTACATTTTTCAATAAGGTGATCATCTATTAAAGAAGATCTGCTCAGAGAGAATTTAAAGTAGAGTTCTTTTCTTTCAGTCGGAGAAAAATTAACTTTTGCCATTACTGGTTTCGTTATAAGTTTTGAGGTTTTCGTGACAATTTCTGTTGTAATTATTCCCTGAAGAATTGGAATTGCAAGTTGCAACGGTTCCTTAATAGCAAAACGGCTTGTACTTTGTCGAAGAAAATCTTTCGAAAATTCACTGCCAATACTTATTCCAAAACTGATAAAGTTAGTTAGAAGTGAAATAACAATTAGTGCATCTGTTGTATAGTAAAAGGCCTTTAATACCAAGTCGTCTACGTTTGAAATGTTTGCAAAATTTCGGAATGGATGCAAGTGTTTAGTATGTCCCAAATCCATTTTCTGTGATGCGAAATAAGCGTGCTGATGTATTACTGTATTGTCAATGGACAAAATTAGACCTTTACTTCTGTTATTAAAATTCCATGATTTATTATCGCAGAATTTTCTAAGACTTGTAAATTTCGGAATGTTTTTATCAAAATTTTGTATGATCAACCAGAAAGTCATGAAGAAAAGAAGAAAGTTTACCATATTGATATTGGCATTCATATTTGTGACCTTCTTTTTTTAAAAATTGGTGAGAGATGAGTGAGCCACAGATGCTGATGTTAATATGGATAAAAGGATCTGAAAAAATTTTGAAATTTTACTAATATATTTTTTAAAGAAATGTTAAGGAAAATGTAATAACATTTTTGCATAAAAACTGAATAAATTAGCCGGGAATGATCAAAATTCGAAATTTTTAAAACAGCAAGGACTATCCAAATTAACTTGCCAATGTAAATATTTAACAGTAATTTAGAAGCGAAATAATTTTATTCTATATTGACATTATTTTTTTGTCCTACCTGCCCGAAAAGTATGTCATTTCGGGCACTTAAAGCGGGCCCAAAGTATCTCATTGTCGCTCGGGGTTAGGCAAGCGGGCGTAAAAGTACTTTTACGCACGCTTCTTTTGGTCAAGAAGGCCTAATGGAATTTTACTGTTTATAATATATTACAGTATTATATTCCCAAACATACATACACACACACACACACACACTTATGCAACTTATACTTTTTGTCCAGTAATTTAATTTATATCAGAAGGGATGTAAAACTGAAAGCGGTATAGATAATTTTTTTTCGATCTCAAAAGTCATTAACGATTAAATTAAATTGAATTAAAAACAATTCTTCTAAATACATGAATTACCTATTTTGCGCCTGTTACGGTGTAACTCAATTTTTTTATTCACCTATATCAATTTTTTTTTATTACTCTTGAATCTTAAAATTAAAAATTTAATTTCTCTAATTTAACTTTTTTTCCATTCAATGGAATGCGACATCGGATAGCCTCCATGACTCTTAAATCTGTGTCAGCACCGTACAGGAAATGAAGTCAGGCTATTACAAATAAAATATTTAAAAAAAAAAAAAAATAATAATTTTTTTTACCAAATGGTTAACTTAAATTAAATGATTATGACCCTCAGGAAATCACTAACCCTCCACTTCTACCCTAATTAATAAAAAAAAAAAAAGAAAGGTTAAAGAAAAAAAAATATATATCTTATATAATAACGTAATTGCGCATGGGCGCGATCTAGCGCAGCTCCATGCATAAGTATACCTTGTTTGCGCTGATTAGAATCTTTATTTTATTTTATCTTCGCGATAGGAAGATTTTAACGTCGAATTTGGCACCCGGGTGTCAAGAAACCAGTAGCGAACATTGCGGCAACATTCCCAATTTTAAAAACATGGAACGGCAATGTTGCGAATGTTGCGACATACAAAACGAAGCTTGCGGCATCAGCCTGAACAGTTTCCGCCATGTCGCAACATTCCCAATTTAAAATTATTAAATAACAACATTACGAGTGTTGCGACATATAAAACGAAGCTTGCGGCACCAGCCTGATCAATTTCCGCTATGTCGCGGCACTCCCAATTCAATATTCCCGAACAAATGATCTTACAGCTATTATACATTAATAATTTTGTTTATTTGAGTGTGTGGGCTATGTGTGCAATGTATGCAAACATTACAAACCTCGTGACTCACCTTGTGTTGTCAAAATTTTATTTTTTTTTACCGAATTGATCATAAATTATTATTGTTAAAAAAAAAAAAAGAGAAAGAAAATTTTAAATGTAAATAAGTGAGATAATAACAATCCACGTAAACAAAGAAATTGTTAATTAAAAAGAAAAAAAAAAACCTAAAGGAATTACAATATTAAAGTTGAAAGAAATAGAAAATAATTCTATATGTGTATATCTTCTCTTGGACCTACACATGTTCGGGTGGCTGCCTCATTGCACACACACATATGACTCGTTGGAGATCGCAACAATGATGCACACATACATTATATAGCAAAGGCCACTAATACATTCTAGGCCTCCGCTCGTTGCTTCTTCTTCTTCGTCCAAGCGCTCCCTTTTCCCCTGGCCCCATGTGCATAGAAAACAAATGCACGTGCAATGCTTCAAGCTGAAATACATCTTAAAGCTTATCAAAATAAAATGGGAATTATTTATTTGAATTTAATTATCTTGTACCATTCATAATTACAAGGAGATGTTTCTGAAATGTTGAAGAACTAAATTCAGGATATCAAGGTGTTGTTGTTTGCGTCATGATTAACAAACAATGTTTTATTGTTATTAATTGTGACAGGTACAATAAACAATATTATTTATTTTCCTCCTTATTTTTCCACTTGGTCTAACAATAAAGACTAAAGAAAAATTTATGTATAATTAATATTTTAAAATAATAATTCCCGAAAAGTCTCAAATTCTGCAGACGATTTTCCGTTCTCACGCCGAGCGCGAGATCTCCAAAGTCAGCAAAATTGCATTGACCAATGGGCCCAGAAATTTTTCCCCACTTTTACTCCTACAACCACCACTTCTAATTCAAAACCCTCCCTAGATTCAGAAGCAAGGAGTAGAGGCTTGGAAAAGAT